GCTCCCCAATTCCTCAATCTGAGCCACTGTTTATTACTCTACTGTGCCTCCACACATGTCTGAATAGCAAAGTAATTAATAAAAATCAGCTATTCATTTAAAAAAAATCAAAATAATCAGAATAAAATGAGTGTTTGCAATATTCTGATTAGAAAGTAATAAAAGTCCAGCACTGATATTACATAGCAAGGTTGGTTTTAGGAAGATATGTGGGAAAAGTTGTAATAAAGCATTCTCAGCATAGGACAGAGATGACTTGTTTACCCCTTATTTGATAATATTTAATAACTTGAAAAAAAATAACAAAAACTTCTACTTACAATCATATCATGTTGAATACACCGGTTCTTATCCGATCACCGACATTTTCCACTAATATGAATTGGAGTAATTATATTGACTCAATTGCTATGTCTACTGTGAGAGAACCTGGTTCACTGTGCTATGCAAGACAATTTTCTCTTGTCAAAATCCATCTTGCACATTTATAAATCTACCATTCATCTGTACATTGACTATTGCTGCCATAACTGATCTACTGCTCTACTATATATCTCAAGATTCTTGACAAACTTCAAAGAATGGTTTGTAATGTATTTGATCTTGCATCTCAACTTCAGTCACTTTCTCACCAATATGATGTGGCTTCTCTCAACCTTTTCTCTAAATATTTTCATGGTAACTCTTTTGATGAGCATTTTCCCTAGCGCCTCAACTACATGAAATGGCAACTAGGTCCCACCGTTTTACTGTTGAACTAGAAGGATGCAACTGCCACTTCTATTCTAATAGTTTCTTTTCTTGCACTTCTCACCTGTGGAACTCTCTTCCAATTTCCTACTTCCCTGCCAACTATAATCTTCAAAAATATAAATGCAATGATAATCGCCATTTTCTGTCTTCTTAAATCCTGTTTCTTCATAGTCCTTTACTCACTTCTCCTCACTAAATTCTTCTCATTCTCTTTCACTCACTGTAAACTTTGAATCCTAGTGGCATTATCACCTTGCTTGAGGTGAAATGATTAAAAAAAAAAAATGCTTTGCAGATGTGTTATTAACTGTCAATTGTCCAAATGGATTAAAGCTTAAATTAAAACATATCATATTCCTTGATAGTTGTGAGTTCAATCCCTGGTTTAGTATTGCTGAAAAATAATGCACTCCAATTCAGTGGAAGAAACAGACAAGTGATATAAAAGCGAGTAAGACTGGCGAGTATTAACCGATTTGCTAATTATATATTCTAAACATGGAAAGCAGATTGAGAACAATCTAGCCCCATGGACTGAATGAATAAAGGGTTCAATTTGGAATTCGAAGAAGGTTATTGAGTAAGAAGACAGACATCTAAAGATGGCTGAAGGGTTACAAGGGATGAAAACATTGAGAGTATAACAACCAAAATGATCATGCTTGTCTGAATATAATAATGGTAATTCCACATCTGAAAGGTTTTGACAAAAATACTCTATTTTCTGATTCATTTATACTAAATTTCTATCAGTCATTGACAAAAGTGGTAAGAATAATATTAGCTTATTATAATTAATCAACAAGTATATAAAAATCAGAACAAGGTATATATTCTATATTCTGAATCTGAATGAATAATTTCCTTCACTGCCAGAAAATTAATAACAGTTATTATATATTTCAATCTTTTTTTTTTTTTTTTTGTAAAGGAAGCTCAAGACATTTTAAAACCACTATCAGTCCTATAACTTATAAAGCTTAGACCCAAACAACACTTGGTGACCTTTTTTTTTTAAATATATTTTTATTTTATCAGTTTTTGTTCTTTAACATTAAATCATCAAAAATTATATATAATCATTAATAAATAATAATCATGTATAATTATTTTAAATTTATTTACTCAAATCTTTTTTTGAAGAAGGTTAAAGTCTGGTCCTAACCACTATATCATTATACATATGCAAACATTAAAAATTGCATTATGCATAATGAAGTTGGTAAATATCAAAGTTGAAAGAAAATTTTCAATGAAAATTAGGTGTTTTTATGCAAACCTAAAACACAAACTCTTAATGATACATTTTATATACTCTGCATTAATTACATAGCAGACTGTATTTATGATTATTTTTATAATTGTATATATTTTCTTTTTACTAAACTGTTTTCACCTTAGTGCTAATATTGCCCAGTAATACTGTTCTGCCATGTAGCTGATCATATAGCTGAGAGAGAAAAATCACCAGTCTTCAAATTAGGACTCAACCTCAGATAGTAGCTAAACAATCCCATTAGAGCAGCCTTGAATTATAATTTGCATCTAGCAACAAAAAGAAATCTTTTGTCTTGATTTTATTTATTATAACACACAAAACTGTTATATTAGGCAAACCATAATTTCAGGTGATATGTTATGTACTGTTTAATAATAATCTAATTTTTTTTTTTATTTATTTCCCCACAGATTTCCTAACTTTAAAGTTAAATTATATAGTTTGGCAGCAGTGGTTTTATACAAAAAACATCACCTTATGACTTGACTTCACTGTGTCTTTGTAAAATAAAAACAAATTCATCTGCATATTTTTGCTTGCATGTAAATAATTTCTATTGACTGAACAACTAGCCTGTCTAGTTCCCATAACTGTAATGTCACTGAGCCTCTCTTATATCGGTTGGTGATATCATGGTTTCTTTCCATGTATACTATTTGTTAGTAGAATGGTTGATTTTGGACACTCAGGTTTCTCTTCTTTATTTTACTTCTTCACCAGACGTATGTTTTCAAATGATGCAAAGATTTAATGACCTTAAATCTAAGGGAAAAATAGATTAAATATTTGATACTCATAGGACAGATTCAAAGCAAGAGTGACAGAGGAAAACAATGGATGACCTACCTAGCAAGTTTCAGTAAATGGATGTCAGAACAGGCTTTAGGAGAGAAAACAAAAAGACACAATTTATTAAGAGCTACAAAGAACAGGAAATTGTGGAGAGCCATGATCACCTTCATGAAGGGACACGGCACATAGAAGAATATCTGTAGTTAAAGTTATTTTATAAAATATTTCACAATATACATATCTCTTTGATTAAAATTATCTTTCTGTAGAAAATACAAACTTCTTTTACCAGTGAAAAAAAAATCCACATTACTAGAGCTATACATAGTCCCTGAGTAAGTGAAAATAAGTTTAACTTAAAGATTGCAGATAACATATTTTTGCTTAAATTTTTTAGACTTACATACTGTAATAGTAAAAGATGCCTTCCAGAAACTAAGCAAAGAATTAAGACAGGAAAATTACATTAGAAACAAAGAAAAGAGTATTGAATTGCTGTGTTGCATCTATCCTCTTATACAGCAGTGAATGCTAACAGATGAAGAAGAAACTCAAGACAACAGAGATGTGGTTCATCAGACGGATATTAGGAATACCATAAACAGAGCATGTAAACAATGAGAAAGTTCAAAAGAAAATGGGAGCAAAAAGTAAACTTATACCTAAAATTTGAAAGATGCAATTGAAATTACTGGTATACATTATGAAGAAAGTGGGCTTGGAGATTTTAACACTCACAAGGCATACTGAGGGAAGGAGAGACAGAGGAAAACAGTAAATAAACTAATGAAAGGGGACAAAGAGGTATGGCAAAATGTTAAGTATTGTTTAGAAATACAAGAGATAGGAATCTATGGAGAGCAATGATTATCTACACCCTGAAAAAGACATAAAAGAAGGAAACCTTGGCAGTGATTTCATAATATAAAAAAATCATGTTTTTTAAGATTGAGTGGTTTTCTATGGCTTATCAACCCGTTGCAGGTTATTTTAAACCAGAAAATAATTTTAGAGTGTAAGTATATATCTATATATATATTAAGTGTTAAAATGTTGACATAAAAACAAATTCAAATTTCCATAATATAAGTTTAACTTAATTAGCTACTATAATTTTCATAATACTCACTCCCCCCTCTAACACTTCAAATTTCTAATTCCTATATACCCCCTCTATAACCTCTTTACCTATATTAATTATAATTTATAAACTTTCCCCAACTCTCTTTCCATTAATTCCTTACATCCTTTTATCTATATATTCTAAAGTTATTTTTAGACCCCTTTTTATTCCTCTTTTAATTTTAAATTAATATTTTATTCTTCATATAACCCAAAATTAATATCATAAGATTAAAATTCGGGTTTAATTTTATAGGATTTCTTCCCCTAAGACAAATATCCTCCACCCTCCCCTGACAACTGCCTCGTGCCTTTCGCCTAACTGAAACATTGAAATGTATAAATTCTGTATTAGTTTTTCAACTGTTTTCTTTTTAGTTTTCACAATTAAATTCCTATTTCTGACACAAACTCAGTCCACACCTGGGTTGATAAGACAGACGACTGATGTCTTCATCTGCTGAAATAGTTTATTCCCCATATGAGGTGATTTTAGATTTTATTGTTAATTAGTTGCTCTGTAATAATAAATACATTGAGCTCTTTTTCTGGATCAGTTTTAATATTTTATATTACTAGGATCCACTTGGATTATATACCAATAGATTTCTTAGAGACCTTTTACTATATATATATATATATATATATATATATATATATATATATATATATATATATATATATATATATATATATATATATATATATATATATATATATATGAGAAAAAAAAATTAAGTAGGTTTTCAGTTATTATAATATTGTCACAAGACAGTGTATTGTTAGCATATTTATTGATTGATTCATTTTCTATGGTTTATCAACCCTTTGAAGATTATTTAAAGCCAGAAAATATTTTTTTAGAGTATAAGAATTTTGGGGGTGGGGGAGTAATAATAATTTAGTATTACAAGTTTTACTAATTAATCCATAGCTGGGGTGGATACGGTGAATTTATACTTTCCTCAAGGCTATTTGCGTGTAAGTGAATATAACGAACCTAACTGGAAATGTAAATTTTCCTTTAGGATTAACAGTTCCAAGCTATCATCCCTTACAGCACCTGGTATTCCCAAGCAGTCACTCATCAAGGTACTACCCATGCTCAGTGTTGCTTAACTTTGGTGATCATATAGGTACTGGTATTGCAATGTGATGTGGTAGTAAGACTATGTTAGGTTAAATTCTGAAATTTAGAAATATTTTGTCTGGTTATTTAAGAATGTTCATATACTGAGAATCAGGGCCCCCACCTCATTCAATGATACAACCCATACCCCATCCCGACTCTGCTACATCTCAATTTTCATAAGGTTTTATTCCTATAAAATACAAATTGTATTGTAACCTAATTATGCACAATATTGAATCATATGCAATATAAGTGAACAATTCAAAAAGAAAAATGAAAATAAATGCAATGTATCTAAATACAAATTAGAGATATGTCATAATAGATCATTCTATCTTAAATAAATCAACAATGTTCTGTGGCAATTTTTTTAACATCAACTTGAGATTTTTCTTGTTAAAAAGTTGAATAATTTTAGCATTATGGATAAAAAAAAGAGTGAATTTTATATCAAGACTTAGCATGAGCAAAACAAATTCACAGATATGGACGAAAAAAAAAAAAAAAAAAAAAGACCCCAGAATGACAAGAAAATTTGCAAAAATTTTTCATCTTTTTAATAGTCAGTTGGGCTTAGTTTTATCTGTAATGCTTATAAATGTAGGTAGAAAAAAAGCAAATGTTGATAAGATAGCAAAGATCAAAAAGCACAGCCCGGCCCCCAATCAATCTTGCACCCCCCCCCCCAACTCCTTCCCCATCCGGGGGTAGGTTCACAAATGGCCGTGCTTAGAATATGGTCATTTGAAAATCTCATGGTGTGTACCTAAAAAGAGTAAGGAAAATAACAAATATGGCAGAGGGTTGGTTCAAACCTCAGCAGTTAAAATTATCATTGATAGTTGTTGATAGAATGAAGGCAGAAGTTGAAGAGAAAAATAGTCGTTTGAATCCTTAGATGAATATGTCTTGCTGCTACTACAGGATAAAGAAAGATCTAATGTATACCGAGTCATAAATGAACATGTTTAAATTTTAGGCATGTTTCTTTTTATGGATTTTATTTGATAGCTTTGTAACAAACAGTAAATTATGCTTGCACACTGGTAATACAATATGTTTACATGATATTTGTTTATATAACTATAAAATATAATAAAACTAAATATTTTTTTTAATAAAGATTTCAAACTTTAGAAACATAATGTATTTTTATGACAAATGTTTTACTTGAATTTTCATGCACAATTTTTTATTGTACAGCTTGATTCAAATGCATACAGTACATATTTTCTTGTAGATTTGAATTTTATTTTTAGCCAGTTATATTGAAGATTTTATATTAAGATTTATGCTAACTGAAAAATATTCATAAAATTTGTCTCATCTTGAAAATAAAGATGCCAACAAAGCAAAATTTAAACAAAATGTATTCCACTCATTTTTATTTATATTTACAGTCTATGGCTACAGAAATTTTAACTTTTAAAAATATTTCATCTTGCATATTTTTAAGTCATTGCTTCTTTTTAATTTAGATAATCTAAAAATCTTATTATTGCATTAATATTTCATTTTGAAAAAAAAACATCTTATTTAAATCTGTATATTCCTATCAATGTATGTTCACTAATTAATGAACATCTTTAAATTTTAGGCATGTTTCTTTTTATGGATTTTATTTACTAGCTTTGTTAAAAACAGTAAATTTTGTTTACAATCTGGTAAACAATAAAAGCCTACATTATATTAATTTATATATCTATAAGGTTTCAGTGTTTTATTATAAAAAAAATTCTGGGATTTCATGAACTTTGTAAACCTAATACTTTTTTACAATGAATTTTGTACTTGAATTTTTATGTACAATATTTCACTTTATTGCTTTTTTTCACCACAAGCACATATTCTGTTGTATATTTTTATTTTTAGCCATTTATATTGAAGATTTAAGATTATGATCGCTGGAAAATTTAAAAAAAAGAAAAAAAAATGGTTTCATCATGAAAAAGACACCAACAATGCAAAATTTTTAAAAAAAATTCTCACTCATTTTATTTTTATTTTACATTCTAAATTTTTATGTTTTAAAAATATTTCATCTTGCAGATTTTTAAATCATTGTTTCTTTTCCGTTTTAATTAATATTTCATTTTGAAAAAAAAAACATCTTATTGAAATCAGTGTTTCTAATCAATGTGGATTTACAAAAATAAAATAAATAAAAAAATCCTACTTTTTTTGGTGCATAATGTTCAAATCTAATTTATATACTTTTATTTTTTTTTATTCAAATATCAATAAATAAGAACAGAAATGTAAAAAGAGACTAAAGAATGCACAATCAAAATAAGCGGCATTTTAATAAATTATCTTGGGGAATCAGAAAACCCTATAGAGTCTATTTCTGGAGGGGAGTGATCTTGAAAAACCGAGAATCTCAAGAGTAAAATGTGACTACTGACTGATGCAGTCTTTCAAAGTCGTGGCTGACAGTTGGACTAGTTGAAAATACGCGAGAGAGAGAGAAAGATGGAAGCAACGTTAGCCTCGGGCTCATAATATGTCATTAAATTTATT